CATTGCTAATAATTAAACAAAAAGTATATGTAAAACAATCCAAAATAAGAAATATAACTTTTAAAAGTTACATCTAATACTTGTAGAGCAGGGTTATTTAAACAAGGATGCATGAGTGGTTGGAGTCTTTTGTACACATAGAAAACATTTAAAACCTTTAAAATCCTTACCTAGCGCCAACAGTTCCTTATGCTCTATTTTACTCTAAATGAGAAATTTTTATCCAAGTTGACAATTAAGGGTCCCTGGCTGGTGCAAATGGTTAAGATGATCAGCTATTAACTGAAAGGTTGGTGGGTCCAGGGGAACCTTGGGAGAAAACTCTGGGTGACCTAGTTCAGGAAAATCAACCAGTTCTACTCTAATACACACGAGATCACCACAAGTTGGAATTGATTCGAAGGCACTTGGAATTTAGCAATTAATTTAAACCTCTGTTAGAAAATATAACTTACCTTTTCTTTAATTTCGTGAACTTTTCCACTAAGCACAGCATCTGGTTTGATAATAGCAATATTATATTGTTCCTCTAAGAAAAAAATAGAAGAATTTCATTTTCTTGACAAAGTCTGGATAACAAAGAGTTTCACAATTAGAATTATAAATCCCTAACATCGAGTGAATTTTTGTCCATTGAATAGCTTTTTATCTTATTATGGCTTATTAACACCAAAGATTTCCTACTTGGAAACGAAGTGCTGTTTCCATATCTGTGCACAAGGCAAAAATTTACAAAAGATTTTAGTTAATAAGTAAAAAGATGAGTAGGTAGACACTGATGACTTTTCATTGGACTTAAATTCATGGAATTAGAATCATATCCATGACATCAATTCAGCCCAGTATCTCTATGAGTAGAGTTTCAACTCTCAATTATGCAAGGAAACAGTACAAACTGAAGGACTTACCATCTACAGATTTATCTGCTGTCTTATAATGAGACTGTAGTTCAAGATAGCTTACTGAGAATGCCCCTTAGCCTCTCCTCCACCCTCAGAATAAATACACACACACCATGATAGGGAAGACATAAATTGTGAACTGCAGAATAAACAGTAGCATGGGTCATAGTGGAAGAAAGTACTTTCACGATGTTTTGGAAGATATTAAGGGTGAAATAAGAAGAAATGCTGTCCAGATTAGTCATAAGATTCTAATCGGACCGTCATTTACCTGATCAGTTCCCAGCTGATTAACATTGATGCTGTTGCCAGCTTTTTGCTGTTTCAGTAAATGCAGTAAGAAACATACAAACACAGAAAATTCTTGCCATTATTTTAAAGTAAATTGATTTACCTGCACTTTCATCTTGTACTTCCCCAGCATCTTCTGTATCTGAGTCTGCAAGCATAATTTCATGGTACTAAGGAAGAGAAATGCAAGTAAAACAGAGTTATGCTTTAATATGATGATGAAAAAATTTTTAGGAAATTTGTTTCTAGTAAATATCTATAACCCAGAAATAACAAATAAAATGGACATGTGCCTGCATTTATCTAGCACTATTTTTTTTTTTCCAGCAAACTGTCATTTGAACAGAACAAGGGGACCCTGCATGGTTTAAAATCAAGAAGGGAGTGTGTCCGTGCTATATCCTTTCACCGACTTATTCAATCTG